CAAAAATAGAAAACGATGCAGAAAATTTCTACATACTTAAAAAGAGTGAAATTTTAGAACACCTTAAAACATCTTCTTCTGGGCCTGTGAGGTATATATCTCAATTTGGACAGTCTGATCAGTTATTCCAGGTTACAGAAATGCTATTTGACATGTTACAGCATTACTGTGGGATCCATAAAAGCTAAAACACTTAATGCAGCTTTCCAAATTGCCTAAATGTTATCCAACTCAAGCACTTGATTTAAAAAAAAAAAAAGATTGGCTGCAGTTTTGTTGTTGAGTTTGCTCCAAAAATATTTGTGATATTATAGATCAATGCACATTTTCAGCTGACATCAATATTTTCATAAAAGGAAGAAAATAAGGTATTCATAGATTTTGCTCTTGGAGGAATTGGGATAAAATCTCACATTTGATGTAAGTCCAATGACATGACATCAGCTATTTGCCCTACCAATTATATAGCTTAGGCAATGGTTTGGCTCAATATCTTTTAAAAAAAATTATTAATTCAACTAAACAACTTTAAAGACCTCTACAATTAAAATAGTGTAACTGAGATGATCATCATCTATTCTAGCATATTACACCAAAATAATATAGTTCCTGTGAAAATTACTGTATTTGAAGAGTAACTCAATATTCACTTGGCTTGGTTAATTGTGTTGATGTATATATTAAATTCACTTTTACTTGAATGGTATAGTAGGATGCTACCCATCCTAGAACTTCATGTATATTTTGTATAAAGATTAATATTCTGTGAATGTTGTTCTATTGTAGGATTTTTAAATTGTTTCGGTGCTTTTTTCCCACTAATATACATTTATGACCTAAGCAACTCACTCAAGAGTCAGAATGGCTTCACATATAACGAAAACATAACAAATTCACTTGAGAGGATCCTTGCCTGGGCTTCTCATGCACACACTTAAAAAAAAAAAAAAAAAAAAAATTCCAAAGCATTCACAGGATCCTCTCCATGTGATCACCAGTTTTCCTAGTATTTATAAGAGTGAAACTGTGGAGTTATTGTAAATTTGCATTTTTTAAGTATTGGTAGATATAGAATAGTGTCCTTGCAAAAGTGTTATCTTTCCTAAATCTATCTGCCTTTTGTACAAATCCAAAATGCTTTCAATATTAAAACATCACAAAATGTTTTCATATGTGCCATGACAAGACTCCCCCATTGTATATTATACCTCTTTTTCAATATTGTTTTGAGCATTTTCCCATAATTACTTTTCCAGGGGAGATATAGTATAATTTTCCCAGAATATTTGATAGTTTCGCTTGTTTTATGAATTATTTGAGGAAAATAAGCTTAGTTTATATGAGTTTTACCCAAAGTCATCTACCAAACATGTGGCTTTTTAATTATCTAGTACACATTTCTTTTTTTTTTTTACTTGTTATTAATACTTTTAGTTTTTTAGTTTTATTTCCATTCTTATATATTACTTCCTTTTTATCTAAATTACGTGTTTTGTTTTTAATAATTTGAATTGGCATCTTCTTCATCTCTTTCCATTTTCTTTCTCTTGTAATGAGGAACATGTTTGAGCTCATGTGCTTTTTTCTCTTCAGTATAAATTAGGCAATGTCCCATAGGTACACTATCTTCTTGATAAGAAATGTGCTTGTGACATCAATCCTACTTATGATTTGGAGGTCCTAAAGTAGAGATAATATTTAAAAGATCAGTATTTATGATCGAAGGATGGTTTTTCCAAATGTTAAGATTGCATATGCAAGGCCACTGAGACAGTGACACCCGTATCTTGATCATGAAGTTTCAGGAATTCTGTCTCTCAAAATATTTCTCCTTTAAAGGACTGCAAGATAAAGAGTAGGTTCAGAAGAGAGCCATGTTTTACTAAAGAACAGATGACCTAAAGTATGTTTGTGAATCACCTGAAAACATAGTCTAATTTTGTGTAAGATAGAATTGTCTTACAGATGGACTGGTATAGCTCTGTGTTTGTCTCCAGATATCTAGAAGTCTGGTAATGACCCTTGGCCAGGATATATATCATGGACATCATAGTTGATAATATTTTGTTTAAAGCCTGAAGTCTGAACATAACTGAGTATAGCTTGTTAACTTTTTGAGAGATGTATGGATTAAAATTAATGGCTCGTTCCTGGTTTAACCCATTATGCAGTCTAGTTCAACTATATGGAGAGTGCAAACCTCAAAAACACTTCTGTAAAGTTTGTCGTAAATTAACTCAAAGCTGAAGCATACTCCATGCAGCTGAGAAAACATTAGAGAGCTGCTACTGAATTGCTCTCGTGTTCTCATTGTTAGCTTTCATTTTCATTTTCCTGTTGTACCATATTCTTCAACTTTATAGGAGCCTCAAATAAGAATACCGTGAGCAATTGTGTGAGTTCTTTTCATTATGTGACTCTGTAAGTGATTCAAGTATATTAATCAAGAACAGCTGAAATAATTTTTTTGTCACAAGAGAGAAATCCAAGTCTTTGTAGGAATAGGAATTTCTGCCCCCACCCCCTAAAAGAATTCTTATTCTTATATTCTGGTCATCTAAATTTTACATGTGATTTTTTTCAATACAATAAAAAAATTAATAACAGTCCCATGATTGAATTTTCTCAATTCTTTAATATTATGCCACACACTAATAACTATTAAAGTGTTTAACATCAAGGAAATTCTGATAGCTGCAACCCATACCAAATTTCACAGATTTGCTACTCGAATTTCCAAATAAAGAATGTTTCTATGATAACCTCCACTACATAAAATAATTAGGGGAGTCTAATTTTCTATATTTCATTATAAAATATGAATAGATCTATGCTTTATTTTCAAAATGAAAAATTATATTTTGATATTAAATATAAGATTTTAAACCATACATACTACCTCTCACTTTTACATGCTCCTTTAAGGAAGCTTACCCATCACCATCCATCACCACTCACCCACATCACCATCATAACAAATTAAATACCTTTGGAGTCCTGAATAAACTAGACCTTAGTCTATCACAGCTGAGTACCTTTCTGCCTTCAACTTCAAATCCTTGCACATAGCAGCTTATGTGGATTCATTTCTTCTTCTAGGTGCAGTATTATGTAACAAATGCAATTCAGAATTCCTATTTTTTAGAATTTATGTAATCAAACATTGTTACTCTTTACATGTGTGTATTCATGTGTGTTGGTTGTGTCTATGTAAAATTTTATATATGCAATTAATAATTTTATAAGAGCCTTACATTAATTATTTTTGTGTTTCCTAATCACCCTATGAGTCAACATTAAGATAAGGAATGTAAGGCCTGCAATACTTAGATCTCAATTTCTGGGTTTCATTAACAGAAATAAGCTGATTGGTACTTTAGATCCAGCTCTGTCTGACTCAACCATGTGTGTATCTAAAACTCATGTTATCACTTTGATTTGACATCAAGTTATGCCATTTTTTCTGGGATGTAAGGCTAACATTTAAAATACTACTGTCCAAGATACAGTATATTCTTTATTACAATCCCCCCAAAAAATCAATTAAAATGCTTAGGCCAAATTGATATACATCCTACACAATTATAAACAGGTGAACATTTGTTACCGCTCAGGATATAGAAAGCAGCATGAGATCGCCAATCTTATGCTAATTAAAAACAAAATTTTCAAAAGCCAGAAAAGCTACAAAATAGCAGGTTTGAAAACCTATTTGAAAGCTGAAAAACAAATAAATCGTAATGAACTAAATGCCAGGATAAGAAAAACCCTCTCCACAGAAAATATTTGAATTGCATTTGTCTTTACATGGTGAGATGGTGGGATGAAAATGAGTCCCTTATACAGATGACAGAAAGGAGAAACCAGTCAGATTTCATTGAATTCCTCATGCCAGTGAAAGAGGAGGTTGAGGTTCTCGCAGATCACCACTGAATTTCCCAGGTAAGTATTCCAAAGGCATTCAACAGAAGAGTCAGCTGAGAGAGAACCTGGAGAAACCACTGAAAGGATGCTGGTGTCTCAGCTGCCAAATGCAAAAGACAAGAGAGCTCAGAGGAATGTGTGCCAGTGCCTCAGGGTTTCCAGCTTCTAAAAGCAGGGGTCAGGCAGGGTAATAAGGTAATGACAGTGTATAGCACAGCCCCTACTGATGGTAAATATATGAATGCAGTTAAGTAAATTTGTAGCATAGGTAGAAAGTAAATGGAACACAGAAGTGTGATGAAAAAGGGAAATGAATTATTTTGTCATATGTTCTGATACACTAAAAATGTATTTTGAAATACCGATAGCTTTATTTTCCAGTAGAAATATAACACAAGCCAGAAAGGCAAGTCAGATATGCAATTTTAAATCTAAGTCCACATTTTAACAATAAGTAAAAAAAGTTAAATAAATTGTAATAATATTTTATTAAAATGCATATTTATTATAGGAAATATATTCAAATTTTCATTTAAATATGTGGCTGATGTAAAAATTAGACTTTTAATACTAAATCTTTGAAATCTGCTCTGCTTTTTACATTTGGAGAAAATCTTGATTTAGTCAGTCACATTTTAAGTCCTCAAGAGCTAAAGTACCTTGTGGTTACCGTACTGGAAAGAACATTCTTAGAGAAAAAAAATAACTCAAAATGTCAAGAGATAAAACTAAATTTTAAATAATACATACTTAAATATTCTTATTTGTGCAATGAAAGTAATAATGGTGATTTACCTCAAGTAATTTTTACAAATATTATATGAATAAATTACATGTACACTAATTATTGTCTGGCAAATGTAAGTGATATAACTTATAATGTAAGTTAATATTAACATTAGCTCTGTTAAGATATTTAAATATGCCTTAAACACAATAATAAAAGTGCTCACTGTAGTACATAGGCTGTTAATGAGCACCAGTATTCCACACCTTAAAAGTGAAAAAACTACAATCATCACTCGGTATTTATATATACTACATTTAGTACTGAAACTATATATCCCGTATTTTTCGATCTTAAAACTGAGGCAGCTGCTAAGTGAAAAACAAGCAGGTAGCGTAGACAGTGTGGATTCCCTTTTGCAGAGTGAGATTTCATCACTCTGCTCAGAACGTCACACAATTTAAAACCTAGAAATTTTTTATATCTGATAATTTTCATTTAATATTTTGGAGCTGCAGTTGACCATGAGTAGCTAAAACCACAGAAATCAAAATGTGGATAAAGAGGAACTACTATACATACATAGCTATGAAAAAGTCTAATTTATAGATTAGGTACAGTTAGAAATTAACAATATCTAATAATAAAATAGAACAATTCTAACAATATCCTGCAGTAAAAGTTACATGAATATGATATCACTCTCTCTCTGTTTCTCTCTCAAAATGTCTTATTCTAGTGACCTCACCCTTCTCATTGACTATTCGTAAGTGAAACCACAGAAAACGAAACCACGGATGGGGAGAACTACTATGTGATCACTTACGTAGTTTTATTTGCTATATAGATCTGAATTCATAGAAAGGATGCCTGAGCAGGTAACATACATTTCCCATTCACTTACATGCATACGTATTAATTTAAATAAATACCTTATTTCAATCTATTTATTAATTTATATAGTTGTTTTAGTGTAATGACTTTAAAAATCTGCCGAAAGGAGCAATGGCTTCATAAACTGACTTTAAGTCTATTCTGGTTTACTGGGGTCAGGATAATAGTCTGTAGCTAAGGTCATTTTTGTAATGCATTTCCACTTAGGACACTTGGATTTTCTCAAGTAACAGTTAATGTCATTGTGTTTTCTCTGTTTTCAAAGTGCTGCAATCTGTAATGTTGGAAAATTACGCTAGTAAGTTGGGAACATAGAGAACCCTGAGACAGCTTAGTCTATAGTAAGCACAAGGCCTTAGGAATACTTTGTAGAAGTACTACTACTTGAATAGAGGAAAAAGGAACATCCTGATAATGCTTTAAGTGAAAAATGAGTATTATGTAAGAGGACAGATTAATGGGGTAGCAAAGAAAGAAAAGTAGGAAAGATAAATTAGGAAGTAATGGGTAAAATATAAATAATCAAAAATGACTGAGGCTTTGAAGTCCTTTAGAAATAATGCATACAAACTGAACACAAATTCTCTTTGCAATCTTTAACACCACCGTGCTCCCCCACACATAAATATACCTAAGAAATATTTTGTTTGAAAAATCTTCAACCCCATATGTGTTGGCTAAAGAAAGGAGGCAGTTACTTATAAGTACTCAATAAGTGAGTTGATAGTTTGCAGATTATTTGACAACAGAATTGTAACTGGGTATTTTTTTGAAGGTAGATAATCTCTTCATTATAAAATGATGATTGACAGTTAAAACACCTGCTTGTTTATCTTTTTAAAGTCTTTCTTTCTCAAGTAAATAGATTACTTCACTATACATTAATTCAATTACTAATGCATCAACAATTTTACAAATTTTTAAATAATTATAATTTTTATTTTATTTTATTATATTTTAAATTTGCTAAACTTCTAACTTCAGGGGTTTTTTTTTGCATCAAATAGAACAGATTCAGAACAGGTAATTTTTGTACCTGTTATATAAGATTTTCAAAAAATACTGGTTTGGTTTTTCATACAGTTTTTAATATGGTAAACATAAAACTTCAAGAACATGCATATATATCATGATTTCCAATTTAAATGCAGCAATATATGATGATATATGTCACAAAAAGCTATCTGAAGTATTTAAATTTAAATATTATATTTTAAAGGGACAGAAATTTTTTAAACATTGCTCTAATAGCATTCAACTACTGTTGAAGGAAAAGCTGTAAGGTACTCCAATAAGAGTTTACATTTTATAACACAGAGAGGCCAGTTTGAAGGTCAACTAAGAGTCTATCATTTGCATCGCCTCTTCTGGGACATTGAATCCAAACATGCAAATATAAACTTGGTATCTAAAGAAACAAATATTAGATGTTTTGTTTTTTGTTCTATTACTATTAAGCACAACATTAGATGTACTCATCATTATCGTTAAGGTATTATAATCACTAGACATGTCACAGAATTAATACTACATTATTTAATATGGTTTACAAATAATAAAAACTCACTGAAAAATGCAATACTGTATAACGCCAAAACATTCTCACTGTAATAAATAATCCTCTTTGCATTCCATTTATCATGAGCTTTTAATTGTAGTTAAAAATAATTAAGAGAGAAAAAACTTATCAGATGTTTTTCTTCATAGTGAAAAAAACAAATACAATAATCATAAATAATATATTAACGATTTGGGGGCTTTGGATAATAGGCAGCACACTCCTGTGAACCCTGAGGCAACAGAAACAAATGAGAGGAACCTGATGATTGCTTCGACTTAGTACCTGTAGCTAATTTCTACAGAGCAGTAAAGAAAAGGAAGACACAAACAGAGCCCAGGAACATTGACAAGTTGAAAAGTTATTGGGGACCAATGAAGCTAGAATTTGTGGGGCATAAGAACAGAGAAGGTAGAAGTACAATGGAAGAGAGCAAATGGTGCCTTTAGGTGTTTGGGAGAATACTGAAATTTACTTGTATAAGAGGAAATACCCAGTGGTAGAGAGAAGACCATCAGAAAGCAGTGGAAACGTGTTTTTTAAAAAAACTAGAAATAATAAATGTTTGCAAGTAGCCACAGACGGAAACCTTCATAATACATAGGACACTGGTAGAGTCCTCCTGAAGGAATATTGAGCAAACTTATTTGTTAGACTCTATCTTTATTAAAATAGTCTTAAACAAAGTCTTCCTTGCCTGTTTAGCTTTTTGCTTTGACAAAGGAAATCTTGAAGCATAATGGAGGTTATTCAATATATTTTTTAAAGATACAAATAGTTTCAAGTTGATGGCTGTGGCAGCCCATCTGGAACAGGCGTTGTGAAGACACTAGCTGCAGCAGGGGAGGCATAGCCAGGGCTGTGTGCTCCGCAGAGCCAGCAGGGACCAAGAACAGGCAGGAGCCCCAGTCTCTACTGAGTTGGCGGGGTGAAAGCCCTGTGCCCCTGGGCACAGCTAGAACCCCCCAGCTGCAGCTCCACACCCTGCCGTCCCTGCATTCTTGGGGGCCCAGGAACTGTCCCCCTACCCGGCCCAGCCCCTGCAGGCCTGAAAGTGTCTACTCCGGCTCCCTCTCCCCACTCTTGGCTCCATTCTGATTTTGGAGCAAAGTTGTGGCCAAGTCTGGGCACTGTTGTGACCTGGCTGGGTGCATATGCTCTTGTGGCAGCGCTGACACAGTAGCCCTCTGCCACCTCAGTCTTCTCCAGACTTTGGGCACCAGTGAGCATGGGAGGGAGGCCTGGGCTGCTAAGGGTAGCTCAGTGCAGGCCTCCAGGCACCTTTCTGCACAAATAGCCTGGGCACTGTGGACAGCATGTTGCTGGTAGGAGGCAAACAGGTTCCTGGGCAGAAAAGAGTGGGTCCAGTGAAGCCCCACCTTCAAGCCAGGGACCACCTGAAGCCTAGGGGCCAGGCTGCCAGCTCGGAGTGGAGTCTGGGGCCGGAGCGAGAAAATCCCAAGCAGACGCACCACCAGCCACAGAGGTTTCCAGTTGTTGGAGTGACCTCCTAAAGATCCTGTAACAAAATGTGTAAATTAAAATGCATAGCGAAAATAACATTTTGTCCTTTTTGTTTTAAAATTAATCTAACCTGTAAAATTTTCTTAATTGCATAAAGAATATAAAGACTCTTTTAGCTCTAAAAAATACAAGTCTTATACCCTACTAGGTATAAATACATCAGGGTAAACGGTTAAAAATCAAATTATTCTTCATATGACAAAAAATTAAATCAAAAATACATTTCTGATCAATATCCTAACAAATGTAGCTTCCTGTTAGAAACATACAAATATACATACTTTGGAAGACATAAAATAAAAATGTCTTGAAATTTTAAATTGCATTTCTTTTAAAACTGTTATTAAAATACTGTACACATATAAAAAGTGCAAAATCATAAGTGCACAGCCTGATGAATATTCAGAAAACAAATACAAGCAATGGAATGATCAACAGGACGTAAGCTAGAACTACACCAACAAGAGAAGCCTCTTGGCAGTCCCAATCACTACCCACATATCCACAAAGACAACCTGGTGCACACGATTAGTTCATCTTTCCTGGTTGACAAGATTAATTTGATATAACACTGCTTTCCTTCAGAGAAGATAAACTTTAGTTTCAGTATGCGATTAAACTACGGGAAGAACACAAAAATATAAGACATTGACCAGATTATCTTATTTCTAGGCTCTGTAAGTGCAGTTACATTTGTAGTTTTAACGTACTGACTACTACACTGAACAATCCACACTAAAATTCAGAAATATTACCAAAGTCCTTTCCATTGTAATGAACCCCCAAATGCTATTTTTATTTCCTAAGTGTATCTTAGGGCTTCTCAAAGTTCTGATCAGTCTTGAACTTTTAGTTGATTCTTGCAAATCGGTAAATACCTGGAAAATTAGTGTTGAATGTCAGGCCGTTTGCTGCCTCTCTTCTGTCATAAATCTCACCCCCAAATGTGTTGCTTACATTGATAGTTCTCCAATGCATTCAGATAACCATCCCCAATCCCCAATCTATAATGTCAGCTTTTCTAGTTATACTCATGAGCACTAAATAATGTTTTTAAAAAAGTAACAGAAGAAAAATTATACCACTTCTGAAACATGTAAGATAATGTTTAGCATTTTTTAAATAGGCACACAGAAGTAGCTTTTATTTAAATGACAGTGAAAATTTAGATTTTATATAAATTTTATTGATAACAAATAGTATCTAATTCCTCTCTTATCTTTGAAACCACACTGTTCTTGTTCACCTAGTAAATCCTGTTTTCCAAATTTCTTTTGTATGTCATCCAACGTTCAAAAGATTTCTTAGATGTAATTGGTAAGTATAGTGTAAAGCATAACCATAATTTTAATCAAGACACAAAGTAATCAAAGTCTTTATGGCCTACAATGTGTTGGTGTCATTTTATATATATATATATGCGCATTATATATACATTACATTTACATTATATATTTGTATTATATATCCAAATAATATGTAAATACTTTAGAAATCTTACTAATAACTATGTGCAAGATTTTAAGCAATGTTAAGGTCTTTTGTTTTTTAAAATAAAATGCAGCAATAGAAAATAAATACTTTTATAATATTACAAACAGATTAAATTTTAAACATTTCTCCATAATTTGTATACAAAATAATAGCCTTTATCATTTTTTCATCCTCAAAAGAATCTCATTTCAAATAATTTACTTATTATTGAGAATTTACTACCATTTTTTTCTGAGTAACACTTTTATAGAGCTACCTATATACGTATATACCATTTATACATTTTCAGTTTTAGGCATGCCTTTTGATTATCGTTATTGACTGCAAGAAATATTGTAATATTTCCCATCTTACACAAGCTAATGTATTTTAAAAATAATTTTTACTTAAATCAAAATTTGAGTTTATTATAAGTAAAACTGTAAGTTGCAGACAGCCTGAGCCATGTAGAGTTCCTAGTTACACACTTATTTCCATATTCATCCATTTTGTTTTTCCTTGAATAATTGTTTCCTTTTTCTTGATTAGTTTATTTCTCCATTTTTTATCTTTTGAAATTTACTCATTAATTTAAACTTTATAACTCATCCCCCCCAAGTTTCTCTGATGTTATTAGCTTTAAGTTACAGTTTATCTGTTTCTTTTTTCTTAAATTCACTAGCATAATTAATTTTCTGAATCTCATTGTTATTCCTTTTTTTTTTTGACGAGAATTTCGCTCCTGTCTTCACCAGGCCTGGAGTGCAAGGCAATCACTATGTCAGCTCCTTCAACCTCGCCTCTTTGGGGTCACGATTCTTTTGCCTCAGTCCCCCAGGTACCAGGGATTACCAGGCAGCTGCCACCCCACCCAGCAGCTAATTTTCTGCATTTTTAGTAAAAGCTGGTTTCCATCATGTTGACTAGGTGTTCCGAAATTCTGACCTCGAGTGGATCCCACCTGCCTTGGCCCTCCCAAAGTGCTGTGGATTACAGGTGTGTCCAAGTGCCGGCCTGTTAACTCATTTTTAAGGCTCGATTT